GGATGAGATATATATATAACAAGAGTATGTGCGAGAGAATCTAACAAAAATATTGAAAAAAGAAAAATTATGGGGCTATTTAAGATCAATTTTTGTTTTATGTTTTATATTTTTTAAAACAAAAAAACAGAAAAAAAAACAATAAAATAGTGTTTGTTTATCTATCTTTTGTTTTACTTCTTTATTATTTTTAAAAGAAACATTGTTGTTTTTAAAACAACCAAAACAAGAAAAATGTATTTTTATTTGTTTCGAAAATAATTTTTTTCCAGTTGAGAAAGACAAGAACCATGAGAGCACGTGAGGGGGCCTCCTGGTTTCCAGCGGGTTTGGTGCTCGCCGATGAGGGGCGGCATACGGTAAAGGGCTCCTGGCGCGGGGAGCGTGCGAGAGGGAGTCGAGAGAAGGGGGAGCGGTTTCTAGCAAAAGAGGGTCAGGGCGTCGAGAACATCGGGAGTGGAGGCTTGGGTCGTCGACGACAAGAAGATCTGGCGACGAAGGGGAGGCCGGAGAGGTGACAGAGGAGAGCGAGCAGTGTGAAAAAAGAGGTGCTCACAAAAATGATGGGGGGGGGGGGGACGCGGGGGGGATGCCATTTGCGTGCGCGAGTTGGGTTTTAAAACCCTTTTTATAGTTTTTTAAATTTTATTTTAAGTGTATGTCTCGGTTTGCGCATTACTAATTCGTGCACACAAGAAAAAAAAAGAGAGGTCAACAGGCTTTGGAGACTTAATATTGATCATAAGGTTAAGTACTATATAATTTAAATATACAAAGTCAATCTACTATGGGGACTTAATATTGATCTTTTAAGATATTAATTTGAACATTCTCTCAATGCTACTGATTGAGATATCAAAATTTTATCATATTGGACCAGAAGCTTCTATATATAATATTTGGAGAGGATAGCATTGGCATGTCTTTGCACGCGGAAGCTTGTGTGTGTGTGTATGCACACGCGCAAGTGTGCATGTGTTGTATGCGTGTGCCTGAAATTACAGATTTTATATTGTACAATTAGACAAGCTATTTATCTATGATTAAATTGCTTCTATTTTTTTCTAAATTTCTTATAAATCTATTTAATTAGTTAATAATTCTTTGACATAATATTTATATTCCTCGAATTCATGTTACTGACTTTTCTCATATGCATCATATTAAAGTATGTAAGTATTGGGTTTAATTCCACATCATACAGCTAAAAAACATACGTTGTAGAAATACAAAGTGGTAGAGTTTCTATAATAGGCTTTAGCTTCCGAATTTAAATGCATTGGGCTGAATTTGATCCCTTTTGGTTCATGCTCTCTAACCATTGATATTAAAGCAAACGGTTTGACTTGGATTGAATAGCTCATAAAGTTGGTGGCTCCAAGGAGTTTTTTTGTAACTTCCATCGTCTATATTCAAGAGTCACGTGCAAGTGGCTCCACAATCTCCAAGTGGTTGATTGGACACTTGGCACATGATAATCTGATATTAGAAAAGTTTCCAATAAAATGAGTGGTGTTTAGGGGTGTAAGTGAGTCAAATCGACTCGTGACATGGTTCGAGCTTGGCTCTATAAGTGACTCGTAAATTGAGCTCGATGAGCTAACAAGCCAAGCTCACTCTAGAGCATGAGCCGATTAATTTAAAAGAATATTAATATGAAATTTACTCAAAATACATTAAATTTGAAGGCTTTATCTTTAAATTATTAGAAATATTTTTAAAAAATATTTTATATTTTTATATTATGTGATTTCTTATTATTTCTCTCCTAATTCCTCATTTTAATTGTCATTTTATTATAACATTATTTTTATATTATGTGATTTCTTATTATTTCTCTCATAATTCCTCATTTTAATTCGGTCTTAAATTAACATTATTTTATCTCTTTTATGATAAACAAATTGGCTCATGAGAGGACTCAAACTCGAAGACTTAAGCTTAAGCTTGAGCTTGAGCTCAAGCGTGATAAAATTAATCAAGCACAAGCTCAGCTGAGGTTGGCTTGAGCTCGACTTGACTCATTTACATCCTAGTGGTGATCAATGTGAAGAGCTCTAATGTAAGAGGAAGATTATTAAGATACAAAAAAGTACTAAGTTTAGTAGAAACATTTTATGGCTAAAAATATCAATATAAAAAAAAATAAAAACAAGTGGTTGGTCCTTCCCATTGGCATAGATTTTCGGGTTAAAAATGATATTTTTCATTTATAAGACAGACTAGCTTTGGCCCCCCTTTAGAACAAATGATATTTGCTAGTATGATACAAAGAACGGTAAGTCCTAAGTTTCTTTCAAATACTTGAGAAGCTTCGTATTCTGAAAGCACTGAAACACACTTGAAACATCCATATTGAAATACCTGGTTGATCAAAGACTAAACAAAGTTTTACAAACTAGTTATTATAGGAGCTATTTTACAAGTTGCAGAAGACGTATTTTACACTTTTAAGCCAGGTAGGACAAAACATAAGATGTCAAAGGAACTACTGAGAACAAATTAATTATGAAACCAGCACAAAAACAACAGTATCATCATCATCATCATGCCTATCCCAAAGATTTAGAGCAGGTTTTATGTGTAATCATTCTCCATTTCTTTATATTCTCAATTTCATGTAATCTTCGCAAAAACTTAAAGCCAAGCTAACTTCTATGAATTTTTCCTTCCTAATCCTCCATCGTATGTAGCACCAAATCACCAAAGCCTATTTTGCACCCCATATATTCAATAGCCATATATTCAATAGGTGCAACTCCCACTATCTCTCGAATATAATAATTTCTTAATTTATCATTCCAAGTTCTACCATACAAACATCTTAATATTCACATTTTTACCATTTAATTTAGCTATCCATAGCTTTTTACATCATCCCACATTCTAATCCACACAATCTAGCAACTTTAGTAAATTCATTTTTACATCAACATGGTATTCTCTTATTACATGTTTTTCTTGAGAAAATTTATTTCTATTTAAAGTACCCAATCTAAACTGTAGAATTAATATCCTTATTTATAATGCCATTCTTCTATATAATAAAAGAGCCTTTGGCTAAAGGCAATGAAGTTGAACAGTCCATAATGAGGCACAATTGGTTTCACCGAATTCAATAAAAAAAAGGTTTTTTATATAATAAATGCTATATCTTCATCAAAATTGACTAATAACTATCAATTTTGCACCCCATTAAAACTACCATACACCCTATTCGTTCCACTAAATCCAAAGCACTTCTCGAAAAGGGCCTATACTGCTATACATTTTAACAGTTCTCACTTATTTCAGAGAATCCTAAAATATTAGAATCATGTAATCTACAAATAACACACATTAACATGCCACATTTTGAATATTCCTCATAAACGGTTTTATAAACAGTGAAAAAATATGTAGATTAAATATTGATTCTTGATGTAATCATGTTGTGATTGAAAATGATTTGCTCATGCATTGCTATAGAATAAGAGGGGAAGGGAGAGAAACCCAATAAGTAAATATGATTGCTGGAGTTTATACATTAACAAAGCGTAGATAAAGATGGGGATACAACAGTAGGATACAAGTTAATCATTAAAAAAGAAAGAAGTCACCTGAGTGCTTTGCCAAGAGAGAGGTCAATGATGAATGGGCAAATTTTCATGAAATGGCAAAATTTTAAGCTCATTACATAAATTTAAATGTTGACTTGTTGACACAAAAGTAATTAAGCAAGCTCTAGCCAGATTGAAATTCCGATGTAGATTTCTGACTAAACTGGAAAAGATACATGATAAATGACTACATAACTAGAATGGTGGGAAAAAGATATTGATAGAGAAGAGACAAAACAAATTAACCAAGGAAAAGGAGTAATACATAACTGACATGACTTTAAACTCAAAAAATATCACCTAGCTCTAAAAAAGAAAGCATCATTGACAGTTTGGGACTGAAGAGAGCAGCCATAAGCATTTATAGCTATGCAAATGAGCATAAAATGCAATAGGAATGCAGTGTAAATCCATAGCATGGTAGATTGCAGGAAAAATATAGAAGTAATGGGTCTAATAAGACAGCAACCAACAAGCAAAAAACTCACATGGCGAAGGCAATAACATATTTAGAAAAATAAAAGCTGATGTTTAACTCAATGATCTTATAGACCGAGTTTAAGTAAATATATTTATAAACTTATTTGTGTTGTTTGGCACCATGTAAATTAAACTAGAGTAATCAGCTATGATGACTGTTCTAATTCTGACAAAATATTTTTCTTCAATCTCTTGAAAAGCAAAAAAGAAAGGGGCATTTACATACATACCACGCATTCTTATGTATTTACATATCTAACACCTAAAGTTTCCTTTTTACATCTATACCCAAATCTTTTATATCACATAAAAAATACCATCATTTTAGCTTTTAAAAAGTGAAACACACCTTTACAGGCATAGGTAAGGTGCTGTGTATGTAAAAAGAAAAATGTAGGTGTTAAATGTGTAAATACATAAGAATTGAGTGTATGTAAATCTTCCAAAAAGAAACCTATAAAGCAAACATGATGCCAAATGTCAAATGCAAAAATGGGATCCAAATAGAAGAATAACACGCCCTACAAGTTCAGGAATGTGTAAATACATAAGAATTGAGTGTATGTAAATTTTCCAAAAAGAAACCTATAAAGCAAACATGATGTCAAATGTCAAATGCAAAAATGGTATCCAAATAGAAGCATAACACGCCCTACAAGTTCAGGATAATAAATGTAACAGAACAGAATATAAATAAACAATGAATATATAAAGGTTTGTGTACATGAGATCATCCTTCGCCTACTCTGGTGCGTGTCTAATTGGACAAAATTATCTAAAGTTGGCTGAGAATGGTAGAAAAAGAGAAATTGCAATAGAAATAAAGCAAAAGATATGTTTTGAATCTTCTGGCAAAAATAAGGAGAAAAATTACATAGAACTTCGAGCTTGCCAAAAAGACTAGAAATATATTGGGAAAGAAGATGCAAGCAATTCCAAGATAGCCACAACTCTATCATTGGAAGGGAGAGGAAATGAGTCATAGTTCTTTCTTCATTCACTTGTATTTCACAGGGAGGAGTATTTATAGAATTTCAATACCATAATGGCTAAATAAGCATTTGCTTGACACTAATAGCCCATAAACTATGAAGACCCATAATGACCCACCAAACTGCCCATTATACTAATTACAAATTCGTTGCCAATCCCTTCGTAATGACTTTGCCCTCAAGCTCGAACAAGTTACTAGAGAAATTGAATAACGTTGACAAGAGGGATGAGATTTGAAAGATTTTAGAAGAGGAGACGAGTTTTAGGGGCTGTGAGTCAGACATGGCTTGGAACAAATGGTTTTGGACAAGATTTGAGCAGATTGGGAGAGGCTAGAGGAGGTTGATCTAGTGAGATCTGGTGAGAGACAAAGGGTTGAGGCAAAGGAATGGGGAGCGACAGATTGGAGAAGATCTCGTAGATGGGAACAAGTGGCAATGGAAATTCATGGCCAAGGGCAAGGCGGATCTAGTGCCAGATACACGAATTTGAAAGGTGGAGGCAGATCAAGATGGCGATCTTATATTGTAACAATGTGAATGGAGGGAGCAAATTTGAATGGCAGAAGCATGTAGAGGCTTAATGAAATGAAGAATAAATAGACCTAACCAATAAGGAAGATGAAGACAGGGCACCCAGCAGCAATGAGATTCAATAAGAGCACCATTTGTTTCAATTATACTGACGAAAATAGTGAGAAAAAAACTAGACAGCAGAATAACAACAAAAAATAAAGCTTCAAGCTTACCAAAAACTATTAAAAACAGATTGTGGAAGTGCTGCAAATGGGCAATTTAAGGATGCCCACAACTCATGACCCATAGTTCTTTTTTTCATTTACTTTGCATGCCCTAATACTCCCAATGAAGAGTATATATATAATTACAATACCCTAACAATTCCCATCTAATAAGCACAAATAATCTATAAACTACTAAGGCTTACAATGATCAATTAAACCATCCAACCATTACATTAATTACTCCAACATTGTAATTTAACGGTAGAGCAAATCCTAGAGATGGGCAAGATGGCGTTTAATGAGATATCATCACAAGGGTTTAGATATTCATCCAATAATTGTTTTTAAGCCACATAATGAGCAAAATGTATAAATATGAGCATAGGATCATTTGTGAATATAGAACTTATGTTAAGCATTTGATTGACTAATGAAAAAAATTATAAACACTTTGATAAACAATTGGGGATGATAACATAGAATATTGCAATCATTAAAAAGTCTAAAATGCGTTGAGAGGTCAATAGCAAAAAAAAAAAAAATCTAGTTATAAATAACTTGGGTGAAATCACAATGGATGCAAAAATCATTAGTTTGGGGGAGAGAAATGATGCTGGTTTGTGTTAGTGTCTATGAGAGGGAGATGAAATTATAAATAATTCCAAGCTACAGATGTATGATGTCAAAATATAAAAAAGCAACTTTTTGTTGATAAAAATGCTAAAATATTGATTGTGTGCCAAATACGGGAATGTGGGCTTAAATGAAGCAGTAACCTTCCTAAGTAAGAGGAATGATGTGAAGTTTTGTAAAGAACATACCAAGTCGTGATACTACCTGGTAAGTTAAGCATACGCCTTGCAATCACAATTTACTCATATGTTGTATCATCTCACTTTCTTTACATCAAAACATTGGAAACTTCCTAATCATTCATATTTCATTGATCTGTAAGGCTAAGTAGCACCTCTTCTAAACAAATCTATCTCTAGGCTCCACACCACCCCACAACCCCGGGCAACAAAATATAGGCCACTAATCTCAAATAGACAACATGAAAGAGATCAACCAATCAGTTCGATGCTTCAAATGAAAAGAATAAATAAATCTTAACAAAGTTGGATGCTTCAAGTAATAAAAGATGTAAATTTGCACCACCTTTTTACATGAATAAGCATTTTGTAGAAGAGTAGCTTTAAGATATGCTAATGATGACTATATGATATAATTCATTATAGATATCTAAATAGATAAATAGATGGATATATGTTTAACTCAAACAAAGATTTAGTTTTACCTGGCTTAAAAGACCACCAAATCTACTTTTTAGTGACATAAATTTTGCAAGTCCCTTCTCCAAAGTAGATGGAAATTGTAATAATCGCAAGGTATGACCAGTTGGAGCTGTATCAAATACTATTACTGAATAATCCATAGTCTGAACTAATCTGCAAAACAGATGTCGGAACATAAACAAGAAAGCAAAACAAGATAACCAGAAAAAAATAATTTTCCCAGAAAATTAGTTTAAGAATAGATTTAAATCATACTTGAGCACTTCGATACATTCAATTAATGACTCCTAGAAAATTGTTTTAAGAATGGATTTAAAAAAAATAACCAAAAATCTTAGGGAAGAAGCCTTCCTAATGGTCCAGTAGAGCTGTCAAAAAAGCTGGTTGTTTGCGAGCAACTTGTATTCAGCTCGTTAGGTAGCTCGTGTTCAAATTGTTCGTCAAGTAAATGAGTCGAACACAAACAAGTTTTTTAAGCTCAAATTATAAAAGAGTCAAACATAACAACCTTTTGTTCGATCATGTTCGGCTCGTTTTAGCTCGAAATAAAAAAATTATATATATTATTTATATAATAATTTATTATACATATTATTTATATAAAATATATTATATATATTTATATCTAAGTTTAAATCACATGAGTTCATGTGGTTTTGCGTCTTCAATTGCACAGAATTGGTGCAGATTCGAATCCAACATCCTAATCTATTTTTTTAATTAATTTAAATGAGTCAATTTCAAGTCAAACATGAACACACTGTTCACGAGCAATTTCGAACACGAGCTGATTTTGAACACAAGTCAATTTCGAATGAGCCAAACATGAGCTAACTCTAAGCTCGCTCAAGCTCGGCTCGTTTATAACCCTATGGTCCGATCTATTTTAACACACGCATTGCTAAACAAATATACCAATGCTACGGGCTTACCAGCATACCTAACAATTTTAAAAAACATATTCAACAATCATAAATGCATAAAATGTTAATCTTTAGAACAATACAAAATGTCCAATAAAAAACTTACAATGGAGTCTTAATGTGGAAGTAGTATTGTTTAATTTTCTTGTATCTTAAATTTCAAAGACTAAGCAACTTGCATCTGCTGGTCCCTTCAAACCTTACTCAATGCAAGTTCCAACAGTGTTAAATGAAAGTACGCAATATAAAGTTCGGCTTCAATTTCTATGAACCATTAAAATGTTAGACTAAAAATTTGAAGCTCGCAAGCAAGAAAACAACATTGACTATAACTCCATCTTCATTCCATTATCACAAAAAAAAAAATTAAATAAACAAAAACTACTAACTCCATCTTCATTCCATTATCACAAAAAAAAAATAAAAATAAAAATAAAAACTAAAGTGACAAACTAGCACGTATGAGTTTATAACATAGTAAAAGGTTGAGAGATCGTATAGTAAATATTAGTTGTATGAATTACATTTATGAGAAACCAAAACAAGCGTGGGAATTTAAAAATGTCAATAATCATCTATAAAAAAAATTAATAAACATCCCCAAAACAAAGCAAGGCATGAAGATGAAGAACAGTGACGTACTATACAAGGAGAAAAAAACGTACTTCAACATTTCTGCAAAACTCATAGCCTCATCTACTCCAGGGATGGCATTTGATAGCTCTGAGACAAAGCTATCAAGCCCTTCATCATTTGTTAAATCATCATTTTCTACTTTAGGATCCACCTCCTGCCAAAATTGGAAAAATTATAAGATGGCACAGAAAGGGAGAAATATGTAGAAAGACTTAAAACATGACAGAGTTTAAAGTAAAAACATGAAGAGTTTGAAAACTAAAACTTTGACATATTTAAATAGGCAAGATACATATGAGTCTTCTACTCTTGGACATTTAAACAAACAAAACTTCAAAGAGAAAGCAGCATTATTGCACTTATTCCCTCTTTCATGGAAAAGAATGCATGAAAATATACAGGCTGAGAAGTAAAGTTGCCAAAAGCTCAAGTTTTTATAACTTCTCTTTATGCGGTGATATCCTACAAAACAGCTTATAGGTGTATTCCTGAGTTTTCTCGTTAAATAGAATACACATGTAACGCGTTGAGCAGTTGTAGACTATTTGGTTCCAAATTTTAGCTATGATTTAGTCCAAATCTTGTTAAATAGTTTTTCATAATCCTAGTTTCTTCTTAAATAATGTTATCCTAACATTTTAGGCTGAATCCTGAAGTTAGTAAATCCTTGGAAAAGTAAAATTGAAGAGATTTACCTCATTTCTCCTCACTGTGTCCTTTTCTCCTTCATTTAGATAAAAATCTTAAGAATGTCTTCTAAATTATTTATTAAAAATCTAACCAAATTTACCATCAATCATGCCAAACAATTTTCAAAGTTTAATACCTCTAGGATTTACTAAATCCTAATTGAAGCCAAGCAGCCTTAAAGTCACAGCTCACTTGAGCTTTAAAGATTGCTCACTTAACGCAAATATTAGGCAAATGGATAGACTAACTTAGAATTAAATCTCATAGTTCTTTTTTTGTTTAACTTTTCATTATATTTCAAAGAATGAAACTGAGTCCTCCATAATAATAAGAACATTCCTTTTATATAATCATAACACATTCCCAGAAGAAGCATTTGAATGCTTTGATTAAGCAATTCTGATTACAAACACGAAACAGATTACCACAAATAACAGAGTTCAAAATACGAAATTTTTTGGGCATAATTTTTCCTTTTATTGCAATATTTCCCCTCGCAGACCATCAAACTAGAATTAAAAGTAAAAAGTAACCGCATAAAACCAATCAACAAACAAACAAACAAACAAAAAAAAAAAAAGGCAAATGAACAACTAAGCTACGGGGATCGATGGCTCACCATAGCGAAGAGATTGTTGAATCCGTTGACGAGCGTGGGGATCTTGGTGAATCGCTGCTGGAAAGCGTCGCTTAGGTTGTGGGCGGGATCGGTGGATATAACGAGAACCGATTGCCTCACTGAAGCCAACAAAATGGATAGAATCGAGCTGCAGGTCGTCTTCCCCACGCCTCCCTTTCCACCTACGAACACCCACTTCAGACTTTCCTGCTCCAATATATTCCGCAGACTTCCCTCGTGAATCGCCATTCCTTCTTTATTTTCCTCCTCCTCTTCCCTCCGGCGAGAGAAGAAGCGGCGGCCGTCGAATTCCTTCCCCTGCTCAGGGATAGGGATTTTTATTCGCTCCCTCTTTCCTTCACAATTTGCTTGTTGGGTAGCTGTTGATCTCTGCCATGATGTAAACTATGGAGAAAATATTAGGTCCAGCACCACACTTTTAGACATATGGTATGATGTCATCTATGTAGTTATCTCTATGTTCCGACAATAAACATAATATTTTCTCTTTAATTTAAATTCATAAGTTGAGCTTGAGTTTGACATGACTTGAATCTAACCTAAATATTAAATGAGTCATAAAGTCTAACCCGAACTTGACTCACATTCAATTGAACTGACCAAAATCCAACTCCCATGATGCGTTTAAGTATGCATAATAATTATTTCAGTAAAATTCAAATTTCGGGTTAATTTTGAGTCAAATTGGAGTTGGCATGTCAGAGTTAGAACAAATTCAGGTTAGCTGGTTAGCTTCACATTAATTAATCATGTTAGAATTTTGGATATGAACCCGATATAAAAATTAATTGGGCCAATCCAAATCCGAATTTTCTTAGTCGAGTTAGGGTCGGGTTGGCGTATCGAGCTTTTCAGAAATACAAAAGACTTAATTTTATTCAGAATGAAAATTTTAATAAGTTTTTCCAAGAAAATAAAGACGGCCATACTTTCTCATATTTCGATATCAAAAGATAGATAAAGCTCCTATCATGAAATCATATTCTCCTTCATAGGGCAACACTCTAATCATATGTTGTTGATTTGGGTTAACGACTTGGGTTCAGGTATCACCCAAAGTTAACCCAACTTGAATTTACACGATCCAAACCCAATCAATTTATTAAACGTTCAGAAACCCTGACACAAATTCACCCCGCCTTGAACCCAATTGACCCAA